AGAGAGAGAGAGAGAGAGAGAGAGAGAGAGAGAGAGAGAGAAAAGGAAGGGAGAAATAAAGCAAAGGAAGAAGGGAAGAGGAGGAAGACAGAAAGTAATTAATACATTGGGTGGTAATAATTCACTTTTTTTTGGTCTTTTTGAGACAGGATCTCCCTGTAGCCCCAGCTGTCCTGGAACTCACTGTGTAGACCAGGCTGCCAGGCTGGCCTTGAACTCAGAGATCTGCCTGCCTCTGCCTCCCGAGTGCTGGGATCAAAGGTGTGTACCACCACACCTGGCCTTTTTTTTTTTTTTTTTTTTTTTAATGTGTTTGTGTGTATTGCCTGCAAGTGTACCTATGTTGTGCAAAGCCAGCGGAGGACAGAAGAGGCTGTTGGATACCCTGGATTGGAGTTAAGACAGCTGTTAGCTGCCATATGGGTGCTGGGGTTTGAACCTGGGTCTTCTGCAAGAACATTCAGCGTTCTTAACCACAGAGCCATGTCTCCAGCCCCAATTCACATCTTTCAAACTGTATTATGTGACTCCTGTACAAGTCATGCCATTTCTTTTTGTGCCCCATGGTCTAATAAAAACCATGACACTAGTAAGCACTGAGTAAATGTTTGATGAATTTATCTGATTTCTTTTCTCTCTGAACCCAGAGCCTCATCATGTTAGCCAGGCATTATACCACTAAGCATCACTTTCAGCCTCTTTATTCTTATTTTTGAGGCAGGTTTTGAAGTAAGCTGTGAGACTAGCCCTGAATTCAGCAGCCCAGGCAGGCCTTGAGCTTTGCATCTTCCTGCCTCAGCCTCCAGAGAAGCTGGGATTACAGGCCTGCACCAAGCTAAACTATTTTTCATGTTCTTAAAAGCGATAAACACCATCTCAGTTATCTCTGTTAAATGTTCCAAACTGAGTCCAACAGCCCCTTCCTTTCTCTTCCAGATTCTTCCTAGACCCATTCCAACTAGTCTTCCCTCTTCTCAACTAAATAATTATTCCACTGTTCCAGTTGCTCAAGACAAAAATCTTAGAAACAACCCTGATGCCTCTCTCAAAACCCTGTCAGTCAGTCGTTCCTGTTGGTTCCACCTTCAAAATACAGCCAAAGGAGTCAGCAGGTGAGATGGCTCAGGGTTAAGGCACAACACTAGGCCTGACAACTTGGGTTGGATCCCTGGGACCCACATAGTGGAAGGTGAGAACTGACTTTCACGTGAGCCGTGGCACGCAGACCCACAAATGTGGACGCGCGCGCGCGCACGCACACACACACACACACATACACTAAACTGATAAATTTATATAGATATACATATATATGTATATTTATATCCAGAAATCTATCACTTTTCAACATCTCCACTGCTTCCTTGGTTGCCCAAGCCACCCCTTGTCTCAACTGGTCCCTGGGCCTCCATTTTTCTGTCTGTAGTCTATTCAACACAACAACCCAGTTGATCCCATTCAAATCCAAGTAAATCCCGTAAAGCGGCATTCGTATCCGCACATTCCACATTTCAGACGTCTTCAAGGTCAGAGACCTCCTCCACAGGACACATTCCAGGCTGCGTGTCGGCCGTGTGCCCAGCCTACTCCACGCCGGCAGGAAGAGGCTCCGGGGCGGCCTGCTGTCCCGGCCTCCTCCGGCCTCGTTCCACTCTCGGAGCAAAGCCTGCCCCTGCCCCTGCCCCTGCCCCTGCCCCTGCCCCTGCCCCTGCCCCTGCCCCTGCCCCTGCCCCTGCCCCTGCCCCTGCCCCTGCCCCTGCCCCTGCCCCTGCCCCTGCCCCTGCCCCTGCCCCTGCCCCTGCCCCTGCCCCTGCCCCTGCCCCGCACGCCGCGCACCAGCTGCCGACGCTCCTCCGCGCACCCACCTCACGGCGAGCCCTTCCTTCTTGGCCGCCGCCATCCCGTATTCCCGGCCCCAGCTCGTCGTGTGGTTCTTTCCTCGGCAGCGCCGCCCGTCTGGGCTTCCTTCCTCAATCTTCGACCGGCCGTAGAAGCTGCTGAGCGGACCACCCTGCACTCCTACCCTAGACAAAACCGCGTACCCGACTCCTTCCCAAGCAACCCGCCACCTCACGCCCTAGGACTAAGCCGCCAAGTTTCAAACTTAACGGTCCCGCGCAGCCGCCGTGGCCACGCCCCTCCGCTCCCCCTACGTGCGCGCTCTCTCCCAAGGCATTTTTGGAGTTGTAGTTTACCACGGGTTTACTTCATGTACTCGCGGTGCATATGGGAGTTGTAGTTCCTGTTAGGTAGTCAATGGGCTGTCTAGGTGACCCAGGTTTAAGCTCTAAGAATTGTCTGCAGGTACTCTCTAAGGCGAGTATTTGAACTCAGCGAAGAACACCTTAAGAACCAGGGTTTCAGACCCGGCTTGGTGGCTCACGCCTTTAATCCCAGGCAGAGGCAGGTGGAGCTCTGTGAGACTGAGGCCAGCCTGGTCTACATAGCAAGTTCTAGGCCAGCTGGGGCTACTGAGAGGCATTGTCTCAACTCCTCCCCTCAAGAAATTATAAAAAGAAGAAGAACAGCAACAACAAGGGTTTATTTGATTTTTTGAGTGTCATGGAATGTCTTTGAGGTATATATACATGGCCTGGCTCTTCTGGGGTACTGACCAAGCAATGGTCATCCCTTGCTGTCTGCCCAAAGTCTCACACCTGTCCAGGGATTTGTAGACCACCCTGATCCATCTGTTTCCTGCTGAACCCTTAGATTTAAAAAAGTTGGTTCATTCTCATTCTCTTTTTTTAGGTTTATTTTTATGTGTATGAGTGTTTTGCCTGTGTATGTCTAGTACCTCGTATGTGACTGGTGCCTGTGGCAGTCAGAGGATTCCCTGGAACTGGGGTTACAGATAGTTGTGAGTTGCCATGTGGGTGCTGGGTCCTCAGTAAGAACAGCAAGTACTCCTAACTGCTGAGCCATCTCTCCAGCCTCTCATTTTCAGTAATGGTTTGGCACTCCTGGGAGTGCCCTGTTCACCTCTACAACTTCTCAGCTTTGACCACTTCTTGTAAGCCATCTTGGAACTGTAAGTTTTGCTCTTTTATGTGTCAGTCTTTTATGTATCATGTAGCTTACCAGATGTCCTGAAAACTGAACACAACAGAGAACACAATCAAGCTAAGCCCCTTGCTTGTTTTACTGGAGGGGAGGGGTCAGGCTTGATGGTGAAGGTTTATAATCTCAGCTACTCAGGAGACTGAGGTAGAAGGATCATGAGTTCAAGGACACTCAGGGCAACTTATTGAGACCCTACCTCAAAAATTAAGTGTTTTTTAAGGGAGTGGGGTGAGCTAGGGATATACCTGAGTAGAGGTATACTTGCCTAGCATGCACCAAGACCCTGGGTGTAATCCCTAGGACCATAAAAAAAAAGGTGGGTGGGGGAGAGAGACACAGAGAGAGGTAAATTACTTGAAACATGAGTTCTGGTTAGGATGGACTGTGACTGGATAGGGCCCAGTGGTGCTGGATCCACCAATTGCAAGGCAGGACTCCTGTGAAGTACTGTGCGCAGAGTTAGATCTTACACATTTTTAGTGGAAAAAGAATGAGCCAAAGGCGCATATGGAGAACTTCAATGTGCTGAGCAAGGGTTGGGACACAGAAGATGTGATCAGTGAACTATAAACAGTTCTTGCCCTCCGAGAACTTTAGGCTACTGGAAGGAACAAACAAGCAATGTCAGTGCATAGATGCCAGACCTAAATAAACGCAGGGGTGGGAGCACAGGCGCGTGTAGGAGGAGCTGCCAACCAGGCTCTGGGGAAGAAAAGGAAATCACAGAAATTTTCCTACAGAAGATAGTAAACCTGAAGGGAAAGGATGAGTGGGTCCAAGCTACCAATCAGAACAACCAAGTTCTGTAGCAACTGAGATGTATCTGTAGTGAATTTTAACCTCTTCTCTAGTTCCCATTGTCTAGTGAGTTATCCCCGTTCAGGTCTCACCTCTTTGGACTGCCACGATGACCTATCAAAGCTTGTTCCATTTTCTCACCTAACCATCATATAGAAAACATAGGAACTAAAGAATGATAAAATGTGCGGGGCATGGTGGCGCACACCTTTAATCCCAGCACTTGGGAGGCAGAGGCAGGCGGATCTCTGTGAGTTCAAGGCCAGCCTGGTCAACATAGTGAGTTCCAGGACAGCTGGAGCTACAGGTAGACCCTGTCTCAAAAGGACCAAA